CTTGGACCTCAAATGTACTTGAATATATGCACGTATATATATATATATAGGGTGGAGGCCATCGCTATTAGGTTGGAGGCCATCACTATTTGGTTGGATTCTTTCACAACGGACCGGACTTGTGCCATGAGTTTCAGACTGTGGCATCCACCTGCAGGCCATGAACTGTGTCGACCTTCGATTGGTTATGGCAACAGAGGCTCTTCGTGCGAAGAGGAACTGAAGTTCTTGTTACTAATAGCTTCTTGTTACTACTAGTAAGGCACTTGTTACGAGAAGCGATGCACTTGTTACTAATAGCTTCTTGTTACTAGAAGCGATTTCCTAACATTTGTGTCCTTGACCTGCCAGATGACAGAAGAGCCATTCCACGCCTTTGCGTTTGATGGCGTGCTTGGACTCGGGTGCGCTTCTGAGTATGTAGCGATGGCCTCCAACCTAATAGCGATGTGTCATGTCTTTGATGTTCACCAGCTCTTCAGTTTGAATCCTGAGCTCCTGAGCTGAATTGCGGACATTCGCAGCTGTGGGCTACAGAGGGTCGATCGGTACATGAGAATCGGCCCCTCAAAAGCAGAGAGGCGGACCGCGGCGGCCCATCGAATTGTTGAGCGTCGATCGTTGTGAAAGAAGCGAATGGCCTCCAACCTAGTAGCGATGGCCTCCAACCAAGAGCTTCTTCACAAATACCGTCCATCAGGTTGATTGCTTCATATTGCTTCACTGTTATGTGTTTAGACTTCGCAATCCTGTGCTGAGAGGCCAATAACTGAACAGCAACCTCATCATTACCACTACGATACGACTTGTTCACCGTCTCACCATGTTGTAGCTTGACGTGTCGTCTCTACGTGTTGCCCACCGCCAGGGTGCGAAGACAGCGATTGATAGAGTTCACCAAGGACGAATGTCAGTGTCGTCAGTGTCTTGTGCCCAGGTCCCTTGTCTCCCTTGTCTCCCTTGTGTCCACTCTCTTTTCTCCCTTTACCGACGTAAGTATCTCCCGTTGATGAGACAGGGACTTCTTTGTTTCTGTTTGGTGCAGGGAGGGGGCTGGGCCCCCAAACACCTCAACGCCACGAAATCACGTCATGTCCAAAACCTGCGCCTGCCACGAAATCACTTTAAGTGTTGGCCGCAGCGCGGCCCAACCTTCACCCGATTCCCTTCTGCGAGGTCTCTTGAGGAGATACACTTTTTCTAAAGGAATCATGTCAACTTGGTGACGTGTGAGGAGATCCATGGCTTGGACTGGCAGGCTGCAATTCAGCTCTGGCCTCAAGTCATAAAGTCAAGCAGTTTTTGCATAGTCCGATTCTATTGCCATCATCATTTTTCGGCTAGTGAATTGAACACTCTATCAATCTCCTCTATCCATTTCCCTCTGGTCCTAGCTTGAGGTCTTTGCGAACAGCTCGAAGCTTGGCACTTCGTCTGGATGTAGCGGGCATCACTGCAGCAGGTGCATGGTTTGGGGAGTCGAGCTTGAGAGATCCTGAAGTATCTAGGGGCTCCTGGCATCGCTACTAGGGGGTCTTGGAGGCCAGCAAGGTTCGCTATAGGAGCTTTTCCAACCTAATCGCAATGGCCTCCAACGGCCGCTGGCCTCCATCCTAATCCAGGAGCCCCTAGTAGCGATGCCAGGAGCCCCTAGTAGCGTCCTTGCTCCTGGTAGCGATGCCCTTTGCTCCTAGTAGCGAACCTTGCTCCTAATAGCTGGTCCTGAAGTGTAGCCTTTCCTGCAGCTTTTGGCTTCGCAGTTGTCGCCTCCTGCAAGAAGCACAAGCAGTGGCCCCCAGCTCTGCAGCTGCTCTTGGGTGCCCAGCAGTGCCAGTTGCGTCTGGAGCGTGGCGGGTGTCGAGTGCACTACATGTCGAGTAGTAACAAGTGCATCGCTACTAGTAACAAATGCCTTACTAGTAGTAACAAGAAGCTAGTAGAAACAATAAGCTACTAGTAACAAGTGCATCGCTAGTAGTAACAGGTGCCTTACTAGTAGTAACAAGAAGCTAGTAGAAACAATAAGCTACTAGTAACAAGTGCATCGCTAGTAGTAACGGGTGCCTTGCTAGTAGTAACAAGAAGCTAGTAGAAACAATAAGCTACTAGTAACAAGTGCATCGCTACTAGGAACAAGAAGCTTCTTGTTACTAGCGTGGCACTTGTTACTAGTAGCGATGCACTTGTTCCTAATAGCTTCTTGTTACTACTGGCTACATACTGGGCTCCAGGGTTCCAGGGTTTCTTACCTTCTTTGGAGGGTTCCAATGTTCCACCTGCCTCGACTTGGTTCCACCATTTGTTACCCAATGCCTCTAGGCAGGTGGTGAAGGTGGATAATTGTGGAGAATCGGATTGTCATTTGAAAGTACTGCCATGGTTGCACAATGAGCTCTGTTTCACTTTGGCAACATTTTGAGGCCCAATCTACATCACACGGTGCCGATATTCGTCACATCCCTTGCTTTGCTTACTTGGTGGTGTTGTTCGGTCTGTGTGTGTGAACATTTTCATGCCGAATGGCTTGTTAATGTCAAAGAAGCACCTGTTTGCTTCTCTTGCTTGCTGCTCTAAGCTTGTTGCCAGATGCTTGTCTACAGGCTGCTTTGGCATCGAAGGCTTAGTCCAGCGCAAGTTATTTTTGATGTATGTGTGATGACAAGAAAGACAACAAGAACCATTGATTTCTATGTTAACACATATGATACTGATTTTTGCTTTTAAGTCTTTGAGTGTTGATTAATCCTCGACACTTTTATTTTGTAACTCGCGTCGTTCTCAACTGTGTTTTTGTCTCGTTCTGTCGCCTTTCATTCTGCCCACCGTATGTGCCCGTGTGACTTCTGCCTTTCGGGGATCCCCAAAGTTTCGGGGGAGTCGAGTAGTAACTGGTGCCACGCTAGTAGTAACAAGAAGCTATTAGAAACAAGTGCATCGCTAGTAGTAACAGGTGCATCGCTTCTAGTAACAACTTTGATAGTCAGAATTTGCTCCAGCGGAGGTGAGTCGTTCCTTTGTCCGTTGGTCGAGCGGTCGAACCCTCATGAGTCCAATGTGTGAGGACATCGTCTCCTGCAGCTCTGCCATCAGCATCAATGAGAAGTGCAGCGAATGGAAGCAGGCGAGAGCCTTTTCGGTTGGAGGCAATTACTACTAGTAGGAAGCTACTAGTTTGTGGAGGACTTGAGGACGCTCTGCTTGGGTACCTTTCTTAAATCACATCTCGGGGACTCCAGGTTCTGTTTGAATGCAGAAAGACCTAGGCATTGCTGCTGCTGAGATGCGCTCAACGTACGTTGAAGCTGGATTGCGTGGCTTGCAGTGCTGCAACCAGTGTGGCCCCAAGACGTACCAACCTGCACGAACCAGTTAAGCCCTTGATGACAATAGGTTCAAGAAAACCAAGTGCATCTGATGTCAACAACATTCATTTTGCATCGAATTCATTCAACCTGCAGGGTGAAAACTTCTTGTTGGGGCGAGGTGCATGTGCTGCTGCCTCTGTCACGCAATGGCGTGCAGCAGTGCAGCTGGCATCGCCGGGTGAGCTCAAGCTGGGACCCATTGCGCAGCTCGAAAAGCAGCTTTTTACATCGAAACAGTTGCTACTAGTAGCAAGAATGCTCCTAGTAGCGATGCCAGGAGCCCCTAGTAGCGGCTTTGGTCCTAGTAGTATGGCCAGGCGCCCCTAGTAGCTTCTTGCTCCTAGTAGCGATGCCAGGAGCCCCTAGTAGCGTCTTTGCTCATAGTAGC